CCAGCACCATCCTCAGTGTTCTCCCAAATCTCAACTTATCTCCCACTCTCCACAGAGTTCCAATCTCTTCCCCAGTCTCGGTCGCAGCCGTAGTCCCAGCCACAGCCGGGGCTTCCATGTGCGACTGACACATAAATAACCAAACCTGTCCGCCACCCAGGCAAATTCAAATGCACCTGTCAAAGTGATGAAGCACCCGCCCGCAGGGAAGCATTGTTTACATTTTCACTCCACTCTTCGTAAAAGTGAGATTCTAATTATTTCTCCACTGTAAATTAAAGCCAAGTGGGACAGAACTACAAACCAAAATGATCACGGCAGTGGCAGGAGAAAACCAAAGCCCACCTATGGATGTATGGTGGGTAAGTGAAGTGTGTGGCTGGAGTATGGAGGGAGGCTTTTGTCTTTAAGAGGGGAGGAAAGGGAGGTATGGTGTTCACTGGCTGTGGAGCAAGTCGACTTCTGTTGTGCTCATTACATACAGGGTCTACAGAACTTCAACCAACTGGAATACATTATTCCCTCACATTTCATACATAATAATGTGCTGCATTATTTTTCATACCAATGGACACGGAGAGAGAGGGAGAGAGAAAGAGAGAGGAAAGATTTAATTAGTCCATGGGAACATGCAAATGAAAGGTAAAATTAGACAGAGGCAGGGAGACCTGGGGAAGAGAGAGTGCACGAATGGTAATGATGGCTATCTAGTTTGGATCAATCATTAAAGGATCAGGGGGACCGACAGGCCTGTTCGTGCCCACGCCTCAGGCTCCGGTCCTGGACAGTCGCCAGCCCGGCTCAGCCTGCCCGGCCGTGGAGACTTCTCCTTCTCTCCTCCCTTCAGTTCAGCGAAACACATGTGTGTTCCCATCATACATCATACACTGATGCATTTAAGCACACATGTAAACTCCCTCTCTCCATAAAGCTTAATATTTAATGGCTATGGATAACTCACTCACTCTGGGGCCTTGTTGGTTTGTGTTTATTAATCGCTGATGCATCCCCCCTTCTGGTAGTGTTTTCAAAATGGTGGCTCTATGGGTGACTTTCACATTTTTGAACGGGAGTGATTCCCATTGGAACTATATGTGCTTTGTTTGTGTCCAACGAAATGAAGGAGATATAGATATGTATGACAGTAAAGGACAATGGAAAATTACTGTTTAATTCCCAGAAATACTTTCCTCCCTCTTTTTAGCTGTTAGAGGCACATTTAAATGCTAATCAAGCATGTGAGCCAAAAGTAAACACAAATATTAAATAACCAGACAGAAAACAAATCTCAACAACTTCTACTTTCACTAACTCAAACTACGGCCCTCCTTTTAACACAAAATTATATCCTTTTCATTTTTGAAGCAGTGGTGCCTATGTGTTGGCCTTACACTAACCCCACAGTGAAATAATTATAACTCCATCTCTTGACAGACTTTATATTTGCACCGATTGAATAAACATGATTGACAGGTCAGGCATTTTTCACAACATGTCAGCCCATTTTAAAAGAAAAAAAGTTATCCACAGGCACATGTATTTAAGTGCTGATTGCTTTTATGTTGCTTTCATACGGTATCATTCGGTTGGTGTGAAATCGCATCTTCTCTGAGAAAGACAGACTCTATTTGTGAGCCATGGAGCCATGTTTGCAGCTGTGTCATCTCCACTTCCTGTGCCCCTGTCACTCCCTCCCGTCCTCTGTGTGCATTTGCGGTAATGTCTACAAATCCTGAAATTGATGTCCCTGCTGGAAAACAGCCGTTTATAGTCCTCCGCTAAAATAAATAAGGCCCGTCTCTCCTGATGCAAGTCAAGGGACTGATGCAGACTCTATCAGATTTCTAAATACAGACCCCAACAATAAATCCCGGCTTGATTGGGTTTCAATTGGGTTAGCTCACTTGAATGCTATCTGCTTAACCCACAGCTGGCCTGTCTGCTCCATGCAGGCATTGAACCTAAATCAGTCACTTAGTGCTATCAAATGGAACAATGGTGGAGTGGAGAGAGCACTCAAGCTAGGGCTAGAAGCCAGGCTAGCACCATAACGTAACACAACAGAGCAGAACAGAGTAGTGTCGAGCAGACAGGCCCCTCTAATGCTCTTTCCCTTTTTGTGTCTCGGCGGTGATGAGTCCTGAGAGCCATGGTGCATTGCATGAAATGGCATCACCCAAACCGAACACACAAACACCTTTTCAAGCTTTTGTCTAGTCTTGTCAACTGGATTTCACGTGCTAATTAGCGTAGGATGGTGGCATGGCTAACATAAAGACAAATCTATTTTCATGCAAGCCAAAAAACATACAAACAGGGGGATTTGAGCAGGTGTGTTAACCAAAGTGACTTAGGAGGCTGAATACATGGTGTTTCTATCACCCCTGTACAGCTTGGGTTATGAAACCCTTGAGTTGGGCCTTCACAGGGTAATAGCCGGACTTCCTGTGGCTAGCACAGCGGGAAAGATGTCAGTTCTCTCCATATTCGTGACTTTAAATGGTTGTGATGTTTTTACTGTATCGTCCCACAAGACACACAAGGTAGGAAACGAACCTGGGAGTTTCTGCACACACTTGTACTTCCTTAAAAAAGCAGCAAATCAACATACACACACTATCCAAACAGACTGATTGCTGCCTAGCAGAGGTGCTGATTACTTAAAGGACTCAGGTAATCAGTTTCCTCCAGTGTGGGCAGAGGCCAAGCTGGAGGCAAGGCGCAGTTCAGGCGTTTTCACTAATGAGCGTCTTAATTAGCGTTCAAGAGATGCATCCTTGCGTCCTTACTTCCCCCTTACATGCACACACACACGTTTTTTAAATGTTCTTCGCTAGTCTTTCTGCACTCGTGACTCTTTGACGTTTTGACAATGAGGTCCTTTCTCCTCTGGTTTGCCGTTTATGCAACGTCTCCAATTACGAGTGCGGTAATGGCTCCCACTGTTTTCTCGGTGAAGTGCCTAGAGTTGTGTTTGGCTAACCGTTTATAAGTGCGGGTTGACAGCGATACAACACCAAATTAAACCTCTCCTTCAGCTTGACCCTGCCACTCACGGCCTGCTGAATGAGTTTGCCTTTTTCCCTTTTTCTGTATTTTTAAACCAATCATAATTACGCAGCCAATTAGGAGGTCACCTTGAATTTAAGAAACTACTTGAAAAACTTCCTCCTTGTCATTACTCCAAGTGTGTGTGAGTGGGTCCATGAGCTTTTACCTGGTATGAGTCTGGGGTGTTGGATAACTTTTGCATTATGGCTTACATTTCTCCCTATAGCAGATGGACGTACAGACTGTTTGCACGTTTTTACTAACGCCATTGGTGCTTCAACGTGACCATGGTATGTCTTATGACTAAGTTAAAAGGACAGCATGGGGGGTCAAAATGAGGTCATTTGGCGTTCAAATTAGCCTAAAGTGTACGTTAAGTTAGGGATAGTTTACATACTTATTCCTTATCTCTGCATTTACTTGCACCATTGTGTCACGTTTGGACTATTTGACTTCCTTATTTCTTAACTATATTGTATGTTGCACTGTTGGAGGAGCCTGGAACTGAGATATTTAAATCCAACAACTGCGATTTACCTTTTTAGCCTTTCAGAATAAAGCCTTTAAATCTTTGAATCTTGAATAGTTTTATACATGTGAATTTTGAATGTGTAGGTATGTGACTCAATAGGCGCTTTCACACCGGAGTACTTTTCCCAGTATAGTTCCAATATAGTTCCGAAAATGTGCGTTCACACCAAAAAAAATCCGGAACTAGAACTTAGTGCATGAGAACTTTTTCTCCCATGAAAGTACCTGCTCTCTAGCAGGGACTGAAAAGGGGGTGAACAGTTCCCATTTCTGATTGGCTGGGCGGATTGCAAACCACGCCCCGTAAAACTCCCAAAAAGTTTTGTGAAGCCCCCATTTTATTTAGCCGCATTAAGATTATTAGCATTAGCCCCGCGCACCAACGGAGAGAGACTAACTTATGGCAACACAAAATAAAACGTGGGAGCGGTGGAGTGATAAGGAGATGTCGGCGTTCTGGCGATTTACTCGGAAGGCTTCAGTAGAAGCTGCTGGGGACCTCCAGCCGGGGACTTCGGGTGGCAGTACACGCCGTGAAGTGGTTTTCGGCCTGCCAGTAAACCCAAAGCAGAACAACAAGAAGTGACGTCAGTGGCTTCATTTGCCTTATCCTCCCTCAGGGACTTATTCCGGTGTGAACGCGATCTGCTGAACTAAGTTCTCATGAACTAAGTTCGGCAAAGTACTTGGTGTGAAAGCGCCTTTTGCTAGTAATTATCAAGTCCCAGAACAGGACATAAGGGCCTCACTTTGCCCGGAAGTCTGAAGCAGGAACACAGGATTTATGTCAAACAACAGTTCGATATTCTCATTAATTTAATGTTGTTGCATAGGGATGAACAAAGTTGCCTTGCCTTTAAGTTGAAATAATGTATAAGATCCAGCCTAATGCATGATCAACACACATTAAAGCCTTCACCCGCAGACACTATCAGAGGGGGAAAGAGCTTCCATGATCTTCACACATGGATGACTCCGAGTTACATGACCTATATAACACGTTACACGCTCCGCTTGCTCCCCGTGTCTCACCCTAATACAGAAGGGCAGCGCATTACAGGTGTGTAAGCCCCCAATACACACACACAGACACACAAAGAGTCATAAACAAGCCTGCCACCAGGATTATACATCTGTATGCATGATCACAAACACAACCTGTCTCTTTACCTGCCACAGATCAGGCCCCACAGGACTCTCTAGGAATCAGCGGCTGATGCACCAGTGGAGCTTATCTGGTGTACGCAGTTGTATGTAAATAAAATGAGCAACTCAGTGGGTTCCTGCCAGTTATAATATACGGTACATGGGTTTTTGATTAAAAACTTGAATCCTAAACCTTTTTTTTATGCAGGATCTTAGAGTTTTTCATTATCATCAATTTATCATAATGTATTTTAATGTCTTTGCTTGATTAGGTTACAGTTTACGACTATATCTGGACAGCAGAGGACCCCTTGGCAGGCTCAGCAGTCCCTAATGACCCCCCAAGGGAGGGTGAACCCCCACCAGAGGGGGAGACCAGCACCCATGTAGCAGTGTACACTCTGTACCTGAGTGGGCAGAAACAGAGATACAGACACTTCCTCCGTCAACCGGACGGGGCTATCGTTGAGGTGAGATATCAACATCAAGTTGTTCCTATTTAAAAAAACCTGTGAAACACAAGTTGTCTTTCAGGATATCCAGGGTTAATTCTATTTGCTATTATTGCCAATGGGATTACGTACGACAGGCTTTTCAGTATGAAGGGTACTATGAGAAATACACTCGATAAAATGCAGAGAAGACATCCTTACATCATGGATTTAAAACTGTCTGAATCTGTTGTTGTGATAAAAAAAAGATTATTTAAATGTTCAAGATAAGAAGTCCAGCAAGGATCTTTTTTAACTAAAGTTTGGCATTAAAGAGAAAATGGACATATAGAGGGTGAGGAAAACTCTCTCTGCAATAGAGAGTAAAAAAGGGTGAGGACAGAATTGGATGTAGAAACTCGGTCCTTGTTATTTTTTCTTCTTGCGTTATCCACATTTTAAACGATTTATTCTCTTCAAATAGTAAATGACAGGATGTGCCCTGAGAATCAAATCAAGACTTAGTTTGCTGTGTATCTATAAACGCTGCTCAGTACAACCGAGTCAACACAACTCACCTTTTTCTATTCTGCCTGTTTCATCGTTTTACAATCTCTAATAATGACAATTCAGCATCTCAATCTATTTCAAACTGTTGATGACGTAATGTTTAGATAGCAGAAAAAGCACACATTGCCAGGCATCGTACCCAATGCAACTTATATTTAGCTCTCCGTCCTTCAACAGGCAGAAACAGACTGATTAAGATTGCTGCCTAATTAAAAGTAGTGTTTGTGACTCCTGCTACAGCGGCAGGAAGTCGTTCCTTTCCTCAATCATTTTGTCAGTCGCCCAAGAGCAACCTGGATCATCCCGACCAAATTAATATTTTGAAGTTTGAATGTCAGAGGAGTGAGGAAGGAGGGGGTTATGTGCGCTAACAATTAGCTCTGAGGCTCTTTCGCGTTCTAATGGTTCTCCGTCATAATTTGAGTGATGGTGAGCTTATGTGAGTAAACACACAGCATGGTATATTTATTACTGGTGTCGCACTGTGTGTGTGTGTGTGTGTGTGTGTGTGTGTGTGTGTGTGTGTGTGTGTGTGTGTGTGTGTGTGTGTGTGTGTGTGTGTGTGTGTGTGTGTGTGTGTGTGTGTGTGTGTGTGTGTGTGTGTGTGTGTGTGTGTGTGTGCCTGTAGCCTACAGGCACACACACACACACACACACACACACACACACACACACACACACACACACACACACACACACACACACACACACACACACACACACACACNTGTGTGTGTGTGTGTGTGCGTGTGCGTGTGTGTGTGTGTGTGTGTGTGTGTGTGTGTGTGTGTGTGTGTGTGTGTGTGTGTGTGTGTGTGTGTGTGTGTGTCAAGGGTGTGAGATTTAAGGGCTGTCAGTGTGCTAAGATGGGGGCGGCAGTCCTTAATGAATCCTCCTGGTCTGAGGGTCTTTCATTGACGGCTGCTAATTTCAACTGACACTGCCGAGACGCCGCTGAGCACGGCCTGGCCACCGATCGGCACGCATCAGTCTCAATCAGGAGGAGATGCCCCCTCTCTGGCGCTCTCTCACACACACACACACACACACACACACACACACACACACACACACACACATACTCACCACTTAATACAGGGTCAGGGCTGGTATCAGTTAAGCGTCATCCCCAAGGAGAGCACCTGATCCTGGCCGGGAGGAGACGCTTTTGCTGAGTCTAACTCTTCCTGACCTCCAGGTGCTAAATACTCTGACTCCGTTGTCGCATCTGTCACACCTGAGGATTGTGGAATTCTCCAGGGATACACACCGGGGCCTCTTCTATTCTCCGAAGCTAAAACTCTTGATACCATCACCTTGGCTTATTGCCACCTTTTCGCACACCCAGTGACAACTCCTACAAACATTGTGCGTGCCACCTGAGGAGTGGCAGAGTGGCTTCCTCTCAAGCTGAAGTCAAGCAGCACCAAACAACAACACCCAGTAGACAGATGGTGTCACACTGCTGAGCCGAAGCACAGAGGAGCCAAATAACAGGGTTGCCAGTTATGGTATAACACCATCACCATCCATAGGAAATGTGGATGTCTCCTGTGCGTGCTTCAGTATTCAAACATGGTTTCAGTGGCTTGGCTTGGAAAAAGTACACTCCTGTATATCAGAGGGACACGTGTTGGCAGTCTCTGCTGGTCATCTGTGCCACAATCACAAACTTGAATTCACAAGTGTGACAAATGCACACCATCTCCTGCCTTCATCATCTTCCCATTGGTCCTTTTTTTATTTAGCCTTTTTTCCAAGGTCTTACTCCAGGGCACGACAAATGTTCCTTTCTGCCGTCCAACTCTGATGAATAAAAAGCGAGGCGAGAGATGTTTACAGGAGGAAACAAAACAAGAAACAATGTTGAGAAATGGGCGCCGCAGTTAGTTTTTGCAAAACAATTAATGTTGCTTGCGGTGGGCAAAAAGCGCCCGCGGCCAAAACCCATCTCTCGTCCTCCTCAGCTTGTGTATGGAGTCGACGTCGCGGGTTTCTCTCTGTGTCAAGAAAGAACATATTCAAATGTGTATGGCTATTAAATGTTAATTTGCACAACAGATGAATGTCAAGTACAGCGCTTCATCAACAAAATGCCCCTGTGTTTCAGTATGCAAAGAGCCGGGCTTTCACCGAGGCGAATGAGCAAATGATTTTTGCATTAAGAAACCTTAAACTCATTTATTTTATAGTTTTAAAAGTTTGCGTCGCATTCAAGTTGCAGCTCTGCTTAAGAGATGGAAAAGGATTTCTCCTCACCTTTCCAGGCACAAAATGATTAAACCTTTTGGCTTATGTCTAACATTTGAACAGTGACTATCAAAACATGCTGCGGTGCCACTAAAGACTTCTGTTTTCCCCCTGTATTATTTCTTGTTTAGACCTTAATCTTGAGCACACAGCTTGAATTGGCCACAGCTCAGGAGTGACTCAACATCGTGTTGACATGGAAGAGTGTTGAACCATTATTGACAAATGTCATTGAGCAATGCAAACCAAATCACTGGAGATGGAGGGTTTTAATACGGCGAGCTTAGAGCGCTGAGAGATGGAGATTATCAGAGTGAACCACTCAACACATGATTTACAAATCCAAACTCAAACAACACCTGACATTCAGTAATGCTTTATGGAGGCCTCCGTTATTGTATGGAGCGTTCTCTTTGACAGTGATTTACCCTGCTCGGCCACAACATGGAACTTTAGTGCTTCCTCTTTAAGCTTTTTATTTGCCGAAACTTTAAGGGAAGGCCCTACATGTGAATAGGATACAAAGCTTGAATTGTGTTTTCACCGTGAACCGTCGCTTTTATAACATTTTAGGTTTAAACATACAAATGATGCATTATCTTATGGAAAACGTAATAATTTGCAAACATTTCCAGAACTTAAATCTGAACATTTAATAAAGCCAGGTTAAAAATGAGTAATTTATTTTATTTGGACATATTCTAGTGAAAGACAGAAACAAATGTAAATGCTAAACAGACTAATTTGTGTTTTATTGAATGTTAAAGAAATCAGGTTATGAATGATATTTGAAAAAAAACGTTTTTAACAATAAAGATAAGAATAAAACTGGGATCTGAGTGTATGTTAATAGTAGTATCACAGAGACTTCTGGCTCAAAGTCTGAATAAGAAAATTGTTTGCCTTTTATGATATGATTTTCCATTCGTTCCATTTATAGACTATAAGGCTCGGCCTTTAGCTGTAGCTCAACCACGAAGCGTTGTCCAGATGTGAGTCACCCCTCTTCTCTTTCACACAAACACACACTAAAGCCCCTCTGTCAGGAGAGCTCAGGTACGTTCAGAGCGTACGTACCTGACAGCTTCTCCCAACCACGTCTGCTATGGAGACGCAACACACGCTCACACCCGGGCGCTGAAACAGAGACCGGAGAGGAAGCGTGGTCCTCGCCTCGCGCCGGAGCTTGAGCTGATGCCGCCTGACACGCTCAAAAACAAAGCTCAGTGTTTCTCCGCCGCTACGTTAAGCATCCAGTGTCAGGCCTTACCTGCTTCCTGTTTGAAGGCTCCACTGAGAGCCGGTGTGACGCGCCACCTGGTCAGTGTCAGCCGGAGTCAGTATGAGAGGGAGGGAGGAAGGAAGGGGGAGACCTGGGAGAAACTGCCCCCTCCTGCTGTACTGTATCGCTGCAGGAAACCGATGTTCATTCTCATAAATATTGATTATTTTGTTCTAAAGAAGTAACATGCTGTACTGTTGGTACATGCCGGATTGTCCAAAACACTGACCTTTGCTCTTAATTCAGACAATTGTGGAATAAAACATTATTTAACATTTGTGTTGGGGGACACATCGGAGGTGAAGCCCGGCAAAAATGTGTTTCCAAACTTGCTGCTTTTATTTTGCCTGCATTTGTGTCATATGTAATGCCTTCAGGGGATTTATGTATCTATTCATTTATTGAGCTACTGGTGCATTTTAAGAAGTTATAAACATTTAATAAATTCATTGTGTCAGCCCACTTTATATTGATCAGTAAAGTTGTGCCACATGTTCGAATTCTGTACAAGCTTTAGGAATAATTATAAGATTGGAGAAACTGTTTATGCGCAAAATTATCAAATGAAAATGTGCAGTTTGATTAAAGTAGGACATTGCATCAGGAGTGCAAACGAGATGCAGAGCTGAATGCCTGTGTGTGTTTTCAGCCTTCCCCCAAATGGAGGCCACACTTTTAAGGTCAGCAGAGGAAGTGCAGCGGGTTGCAGAATGTTGCTGGTACTTAGCTCGCTCACTTCTGAACCTCGCAGACTGTGGCAAGGTCACCGCGGGAAGCACAAATGGGAGTTGATGGCTCCGTTGTTCCGTGTCATCCTCCCTGCTCTCCACCATACTATTTGGGGACGGCGGTGCTGAGCGCAGCTGACATCACGTACACACATGCACACAAAGGAGGCAGGGGATATTAAAAAAGCGTGGCAAAAATAGAGCCCGGCCCGGCATTATTAAGACACAAGCTTCAGTTAGCCCACACAATGTGATGATGGGATGGAAGTGATGCATTCTCTGTCCCGAGAGAGCTTGTCATGCTGGCCTACACAAACACACATCCTTGTGTCCGAATGCATTTTTTGTGAGCTAGTTTTTTCCTCTTTTTATAAATGGAGAGGATAATGGACATTTCTGATGAGAGGCCAGAGTGGTCCTGATCCTCCACTCGCCCTTTTTTCTACTCAAGACTTTTTTTTCCTACTCTGCGAATGCATTGTTTTACTGCAAATTATAACCATAAAAAAGCCTCTGATCCCCCATTCTGTTAAATTAATAGAATTACGCAAAAAATGTAATGATAGCAATTAAGTCTTGAAAATGCAAATTTTATAGTCAAGGACGATTACCTCATTTATAGCATGTGCTGGAATGATGCCAGACGAAGGTAATTTAGATCCGGGTTGCTCACGGTTACATCATGATGAATATGAGACGAGCGGGGCCTCATCACGCACCTCCAGTCGCCAAACTCTCAATCAAACGAAGGTGGGGGCGGAGTTTAGGGGAATGAGGAACATGAGTGCTGTCAGGGATAACCCTTCCCGGGAATAGAGGCATACATCAGGAGCAAATGGGAGTGGAGGGGCATGCAATCTGCAGGTATTCTCCAAAAGATGGTAGTGCATTTTAAAATGACTGCAAAGGGCACGTCTGCACTGACCATAAGCTTTAAAGGCCTGTTCTTGACTTCTGTGACTTTACAAATATTATGCATTCCAACTCCTCGACAGAGAGAAGCTGTAATGTGTTTTACAACGAATGCTGACATTTTGGAGTGAAATGGATTCTAACACAGGTTTGATGGAAGCCTCTCAGCGCGCCCTGTTAACCTCGTAATGTTTATTGCCCGAGATTAAGAATTCACATCCAAACTCCACGCCCAAATGACATTTAAATGCAGGATTTTTAAAAGCGTAAGTGTTTGGCTGAGTAAAATACTCACATTAGTTAATTATTCCAGAAAGGCAGCTGTAATGGCATGAATCTTTTATGGAGGTCTGCCTGGTGCCATGATCTCTAATAGCTTAACATTTCACTTTAGCACTCGCTCACCCTCCGTGCTAGTACACTTTTCTAATTAACAACTGTTTTACATGCTGGAGTGTGATGCAGGGGGCAGCATGGCACCAGAAGTCCAAACATGGAGCACCTATTGTTTTAAAATCCCTTCCTCTGTCTGTCATAGCAACAAATCACCAGGAGGAAAGTTTAATTTTGTTATGACAATTTATTAAAACAAATTTCACTGAGGTTTCATCCTCATGAGGGCTTGATACGTCCCTCCTATCCGTCATATATGTCCACATATTACCTGATTTAGCTGGATTCACCCCCAGGGAGATTTAATAGCAGAGAAAGCACTGAGATAAAATAAGAGAAGTATCCCTCTTGTTTCCTTTAAAACTGGAAAGCCATTTAACTAACATCTCACCCTGGCTATTACACAGTCTATTGACACACATTGCACCGGGCTGGACTCTTTCTCAACCCCATCCATCGGTCAAACAGATTGTCCCCTGGTCGGCAGGGGCCTGCGCCGCTAATGGAAATGGGCGATGCTGGGAGCATAGAGCCTGGAGAAGCCTGGATGATCCCTCAGGCCATGGCTGCCACGGGATGAAATAGAGAGACTATTACAGCGGAGTTGTAAAGCCCCACACGCTCCACGCACTATCATAATAGAATATTGATTCTATCAGATGCCAGGCCCAGGCCTGTCCCCGCAATGAAGAAAAGAGCACTAAAGGTCATTGTGTAAAAGAACAGGGTGGGGGGGGGACAGAAGAGCAGAGAGGTAGAGAGGAATAGAGGACAGGAAAGAGAGTGCTGTACTGTATTTCTGTAATAACCCAATGTAT